CCGACCGTGACTGACAGCATCGGTCCACCACGGACTTCTGTGGCCGTTCCGCGGAACCTCCCTTTCAAAAATTGGCCAATCAGAAAACTGCGGGCACTTTTTATCTCTGCTGCTGCGCTGTTGTTGCTGTGTGTTTGGGCTGTTGCTGCCTGCTGTTGTTGTAGGTTGCAGAAAACATGAAACTCCGCCGCTCCTTTGAGCCAATCAACAGAAAAGATGACGAAAGAGCATATATCGTCATCATGTATGATCGTGTGTGTGGTGGGGAGAAGCCTGGTTGACTGAGATCTCTTGTGGCTGTCTAGTGAGGTCATCAAACAACAGTCATCCACGGTCAAGTTGTCGACTTCAAAATTTTGAATCTCACACAAAAAAAAAACTACCTCATCACCACCTGCTCAACATAACACGGGCGGTAGCTGGTGGCATATGATGATGATGATTTTGAATCTCACACAAATTAGCCCGTGGTAGGGTATATCGTATAATTATGGTGGGAATCACCACGGCTTCTCTTATTTCGAAAATCATGCCCAGTACCTCCTTCCTCCTCTGGTGTTGATATGTAGACTGTGTAGAGCGAGGCAAATTCAATTCAACACCAAAAAGAAGAGTGGAAGCAACGGTCCGCTCTCCTTCATGTAGGTCTGGAGATACAACAACTGCTGCTGTGTAGGCCAGTCATCCACACCCAACAGGAGCAACGGTAGTTCAGCAACAGCAGCGACGAGATAGCTTCTTGCTGTAGCGCTGGCTACTTTCTTCCTCCTTCTGTGTGGTCACCAATCAATCAATCAGTCAATCAGTAAGGAGGGCGACTACCTGACTGAGCCGTGTGGGTGGGTGGGCGATTCCGTAGAAGAACGAAATAGGTGTCGTCGCCGTCATCATGTATGTATGCATGTCGTGGGAAACCTGTTTATTTAGGGACGATGATGGCTGATATCCCTTGGCTGTCGTGTGAGGTCATCAATCAGTCATCCACGGCAAATTTGAAAATTTGAATTTTTTGAATCTCATGACCGTGAGCGACGTCATCGGTCGACCACGGAATTTCCGCCTTTCTTTGGAACATACAACCTTAAAAAAATTGGCCACTCACTTCTTTGCGGGCACCTTTTAAACCTACGAGCGGTCCCGTTCGTTCTCCAAAGTGCAATCGTGTAAGCACAAGTGGTTTGGTTCACGGATCGCTTTGGATCGCACGGCGGGACTGTCGTTTCCATCCCCTCCTCGGGAATTAGACAGAGACGTGTCGAAACAAAATTTGCTATTTGTTGACCCTGTCACCCACGGGGGAGATATCACTGCTGTGTGCTGCTCGGGAACCTGTGGAAAAATAGCACTTTTGCTGACTCTATGGATTCATTGCTAATCTATCTCAAGAGTATTTTCTTCGAAAGAGATGGATTCGTTGTGGCAAAAAATATTCTGATGAAACAAAAAATACAAAAACAAAAAGTTCCAATAAAATTATTTTCCTTCCCTTCTGGCACTCTTTTCTCTTTTCAACACTCCACAACAACAACAACCCCCGTCTCCCCATCTCCCTCTCTCGCATCACTAGATATCTTGGGCCGCCACGCAGGAGCGGACCGCTTCCATCGGTCGGCCTCTCTGCTGCGAGGCAACGAGTGGGAGCTCTCAGTATCACGCCCTTCGTAGGTGAGTGCCGATGCCCCACCCCTTCTTCAGACACGATTTGCGCACGGTTTCTCTTGATTATAACTCGTGGGGGCGTGGTACTGCCTGTATCCGAGTGCGGTAAACATTGGTATGCATACTTCGAAATATATAAATGGCTAGTGAGTGACATCCAAGCGGAGGTGTTTGGCACGCAGCCATGGCCGTCAGTTCGATTTGGCTATCGAGCACACGGGTCGAGGATGGAATCGAGCAGGAAGGGTTGGATTACGCGGTAGCTGACATGTATACGGCACCTGCAAGTCCCAGATATCGCCGTTGGCAAGTGATGTGCAAAACACAAGACTAGACTACCATGTACCAACACCCGAATGTACAGACGCTGGACGCTGGCCTTGGGCGGCGGCGCACGTAGTTCGGTGCGGGTGCGGGTACTTTGGCATGCTGGACGCCTCTCCCAGGTAGTCGGGGTTGTCGGCTTTTAGCCTGTAGCATGACCCGTGCGCGTAAGAAAAGGGAACCATCGGGGACACAGCAGGCCCTCTGGCCAATCACGCCGCTTTTTTGTGTGTGTGACGCCTATGTACACTTGTGCGTTTGGCCTACGGCTGTTGTACCCACATCCCTTTCGACTGCTGCTGTGGTTATATGCATATCTCAAACGGGTACATTGTTTTTCTGTGATTTTGTCTCTAACTTGCAGAAACGCATGGACTATGCATGGGTTTGGCTCCTTCCTTTTCCCAGAGTTTAGTAGGTTACGCGTCAGAAGTGTTGGATAAACCGGGTAGGCCGAAGCTTGTAGGTTTGTGGAGAAAGGCAGCTCGGCCAGTGAGGGCCGAGATGGGAAAGTCTTGTATTAGAGGGAAGAGGGAAGGGCAGAGACCACTCCAGGCCGAGCAGCCGAAGAGTGCGTCACCACACCTATCCGTCACGCAATTCAGATCACTCATCGAATCTCCGAAGAAACCAAGCAGAAACTCCCTGTTCCTCCGCGATCTACCAACTGCAATCTCCGTAGATCCATGTCCCATACTCAACCACATTACTATGCTACGAGTATATCTAACAGCCCCCCTGCTCGTATGCATCGTAATGATACGGCAAGGCAACATAAATCCACTTACGAACCAAAACGTCGTTCCTATTCGTCCGTGACAAACAATGAACCAAAAACTCGATTATGCAAATATTCCTGAACCAAAAACGTCTCTTAGCACACTACATCCTTCAACTCAGAAAACGCTTTGCTATTGGTCCATCTGCTCTCTCTGCATCTCGTCGCATTTGTATTCGCCATACATTTCATCCCTTACGTCTCAAAGGCATTAAACAACCCATTCATGTTAACATAATTATGGAAGAACTCTTCCATCATTCTTTTCCAAAACAATGATCAATCCTGGATAATCGCCTTCGAAATACTGCAGATGCATACAGTCATCCCCAAATCCTACATGAATACCAAGACAACATGAATTTCGCAAGGGATAAAATATGCATGTTTGATGCTTCCGAACACACAGAATGTACCCAGTTCGCAGATAAAACGCGACCAGGAACGAATGCTACTCTCACAATTCCGATCAAACAATATCCCCAAAACATTCGGTCAACGTCAAGACAACTTCCGCAGGTGAAACGCGAATATTTCTTGATTGTAACACTCCAGAAACCAAACATCAGCTTTCCGTTCCTCCTCCTGAAAGGATAGTGTGCCCCTCTTCTCGGGGGGATCTGCCCCCCTGATTTGAGAAGGGGTTGGAGTCAGAAACACAGACCAAAATAACACATTCAAAGTCCATCCAGTCGAAAGCTCAAGAAAAAACAATATTTATGCAAATCCGAAAAGCTAATACCAAAACCAAATCAAAATCCATTACCAAACAGTTCCAGTCCGAAAGTCCAGACCAAATCAAGAACCAAAACCAAAATCCAATACCAAAACAAAGACAACATCAACACAAAATCCAATCTAATACCAAAACAAAACAATACTCGAAACCCCTACATTTGCCGGCGCATCATCAAGCTCCAGCGCTTAATAACCCATTGCCCAAGCCATTGTTTTCCCCCCCCGCGGACAATTCGCACGCCTCCGCCGCGGTCGCCTTCCGCCATCTTTTCCGGCTGGCCGCGGCTCGAGCTTCGATGTTTGCGTCCGCCTGACTTGGGGGAAGAACAATTGTCGCTCCGAGAGGATTGACTCGGCAGTGGTGCAGGGCAGGTCGCGCGTTCGGAGGGGATGATGGCGGCAGATTAGTTCCGAACAAACCAGCACTACTGAGGAGAATCACAAACATACAAACATTCCCCCCGGTTCTGCAAAGTAGTGACTGCATGCAGCAGAAAAAACAATAAATGAAACACACGTTCAAGTCGTCGGACCCTACTTGTGGAATGGTTTGTCTGAAATTCATTGCCGATGCGATATCGCCACACCATAAATAGCTGAATATCATCCTGAAACGGAGGTTGATTAGTCCTCTGTTGCAAAATAGTAATCAAGCTGCTGCTACTGTTCTAACCATAGGGTAATCAATCCTAAGTCAAAACCTTAACAACTTTTGGAACCGCAATCTCACAACAAATAGCAATGTCAAGACAACGTACAACAATATTAGGAAATCAGCATTTATTTCGTCAATATTGTGAATTTTTAATCTGCAACAAGGTGGAGGTACCAATGTTGCACTTCGTTGAGACTTGACACGTCTCCGGCACTCGCTGACACAACCAAGACATGAAAATTTTTTGATCAGGTTAAACCTGCTACCCAAAAAGAGTCCAGATAAAACGTTGATCACGCATTTTTGATCAGGCTAAACCTGCTGCTCAAAAAGTAGCTACCAAAGAGAGCCCAGATAAAACGTTGATCACGCTATTGCCGGGGAGAGAAAGTTGGTCTCAGCACGGCTGTCAGGATGACAAAGCAAAAACCTCGCCGATCACTGCATTTCATTACGCACAATACTATTTCTAATACCATGCTACACGCACACATCATATCATCAGTTTAGAAACTGGCATCAGTTTTTGAGGATTACTGGTAACCTAGGTTGGGTCTACCCATGTGCTACAGGTAGTCGGCCTTTGACCGAGCGGTGGAGTTTGACGGCAGTACCGCACGACGTATTGTCGCGTTTTGATTGAGTAAGCGTTGGCGTTTGACGGCATTACCGCGCAGCGTGTTGCCGCGATTATACTAGAGAAAGAGTAGGAGAGAGCGTTTGACGGCCGTGCCGGGTGGAGGTGGAGGTGGCGTTAGCGTTGGCGTTTGACGGCAGTACCGCACGGCGTATTGCCGCGTTTAGAATCGGACGGCACTATGAGTACCGCATCACCGCAATGGGTGTGTTGATACCAACAACAGTCCAGTAGGAAACTGAAAAGTCATCACGTGCCTGAGCGGGCCTACTACCCAAGTAGACGGCGGGCTGCAGCTGACGATGGCGCTGCTGTAGGTCTTGGGGTTGCTGCTGCTGTGCAGGCCCTCGCCGTTGGTGGCCTCTTCGTCTGGTTGGGTGTCGTCAGCCGCGCATGCGGCTGCCCATCGGCGCTACCCAATCACCCTCGACAAAGTCGTTAACGCTAGCGTGTTGGATAAACCGGGTAGGCCGAAGCTTGTAGGTTTGTGGAGAAAGGCAGCTCGGCCAGTGAGGGCCGAGATGGGAAAGTCTTGTATTAGAGGAAAGAGGGAAGGGCAGAGACCACTCGAGGCCGAGCAGCCGAAGAGTGCGTCACCACACCTATCCGTCACGCAATTCAGATCACTCATCGAATCTCCGAAGAAACCAAGCAGAAACTCCCTGTTCCTCCGCGATCTACCAACTGCAATCTCCGTAGATCCATGTCCCATACTCAACCACATTACTATGCTACGAGTATATCTAACAAGAAGGATCTCTTTGCCTGCTACAGCAGTACAGCACAGTTCCGAGAGCAGGTTGGGCGAGGAGAGAGGCCCCAGAAAGCGTGTCAGCACGGGGTCACCACAACAGTGACAAGTGGTGTTGCTGTATTGCTGGACAGCCACGACCGGAGGGCGGGGGTCCACACCCCTCGAATGGCTCATGCCTCGTGTCTCAATCGATAAATCCCATCCACGAATAGCTGAAGCAAACCGAGGTCACCTCTTTTGTCGATAGTTACTACTTCTGTCCAGGACATGCTCGCGACGTAAACAAGTGCCACACCACGTTCAAACGCACAAGGCCGCCACTGAGTGTTTGTTTGACCGGCTAAAAGATAATCCACCAACTTCGTGAGTCTTGAGTTTGTCACACTGCCTGTACGGTTCGTTTCACAAGGCGGCCGTGCCGTCCGAGCACGTACCATAATTGTGCGTGTTATCTCACACCCGTGCTAGCGTTTTTCTAAAGCGCTTTTCTCCGCAACCAGGGAGGCATCACCTCCGAAAAGGGTGGTTTTGGAAACATCTCGTCGAGGGCTTGGCGGAGATGTATCAGTTGGTGTTCGCACCCTCCTAGTTGTGGAGGAATACGCTACAGAAAAACGCTAACACGGGGGTGCGATGACACGCACATTCACGGATTATTGTTGTGTTACGGTTCCGCACAACAACAAACGCGCCAAGCCTGACCCCCATCTTTCGCCCCCCTGCCACTGCCTGGTGCCGCTGCTGCTCGTGCTGGAAGCTAGAAGACGAAAATCTGCCACCGCGTTGTGACGGAAGCACAGGGGATGGGGCTGGGGGAGGACGAGTTCCTCGTGCCGTCGGGGCTAATGATGGGGGGTAGCAGCAGAGAGAGCCTGCGATCTCACCACCAGCACCAGCACCAGCAGCCTCCCGGTCTGTGGAAGCTCACGCGGCCGCTGCTCGTAGCGCTCGGGGTCTTCGGTGTTTCCACAGGCGCCGCGCGGTACCTCTTCCCCCGCAGAAAGCTGCAGCCGCAGCGGGAGCAGCTGGAGAGGCTAGTCGCCGTGAGGACCGGTAATAGCGCTGTCACGAGCGAGTGCGCCACGGCTTCCAAAGTGGTGATGGAAGGGGCGGACCTGACCCGATACTTCTCGCTTGAGCTGGGCGCTGCGGCCGTGTATGGCGTTGAGGAGTACGAGGCCCTGTACAATGGTTACAGGTTCTGGTTCGAGAGTGCAGAGAACAAGGCCATGTTCGAGGTGCGATGAAGGGATGCGAAGTTAGCTCATTGCTTGATGCTTGGTGGGAGCGTGGCATATGCGCATGCGTCCCTCTGTTTTGTGCACGTGTTGCCATGTCCTGGTTTGCTTGGTGCATGGTGATATGTTGGCATGCACCCGCTGTGTTCATGTTTGTTCGCCACATCGTGGCTTGCTTGATAGATGGTGATAGCGGTGTTTCTGCTTGTTCGCGTACGATGATATCATGGCTGCAGTGGCGATCACATCATGGCTGCAGTGGTGGGGAGAGGTTCCGGGCGAAACGCGTGCCGTTTCTTTTGATACTTCTTGCGAACGGGAACACACTTTGAATGTTTTGTTTCATTCCCGGGCGCCGCCTGCCGTACCCTCCGCGGCCTGCCACTTGCCAGCAATAGCAGCAGTAGCAGAACGCACACCGAGGGGACAAATTTAGCAGCGGCCCTGAAACGTTCCCGATCGCGTCACCGCTGCCGAGCACTGTCTAGTCGGACTGCGTTCGCGAGGATAACATGCGTTTATGTGAAATTGAGAGGAGAGTCTCGCGACCTCAACCCCACCCCTAGCCCCCAATCGAACCCATCGCCCCTACAAATATTTAGGTTTCTAAATAATGTCCTCGCGAACGCTACTGGCCTATACCATACCCATGATGGCTTCTCTATTGGGGGATGTTAATGACGTGCCCCCGGCAGAAAGACCGCCTCCTGCGGGGGTGACGGTCTACAGTACGACTACCCACCGTCGCCCATTGTCTGACTGGCGTCAAGATTTTTCACGCCGGTTGTCAAACGGGCGATGAAATTTATTGCCTTCCCAGGTTTTTTGTATTCAGGAAACATGTTGGATAAAGCATACAGTCGGGAAAGTTGGGTTAGGGTTAGGGTTAGGGAATAGGGTCTGCGTACCCCCTCTCTGTTGTTTTTCCTTACAGTACTAAATTTCCCGCGGAGGCGGTCTGATGAAGTTGGACACGAGCTGGTTTTGAGTAATTGACTGTTTATCCACCCGTTTCTGGCGCGCGAGGCCCCTGTCTGTGAGCACGTGTCTGCATGAGCCGATGCCATTCTCTTCTCCGTTTTCGTGTTGGCGTGTGTGTCCCCCGCCGCCCCTCCTCAACCTCGAGCACCCTTTTCCGTGCGCTTCTCTTGTGTGTCGCCTGTCCCCCTCTCCTTCCTACTAGGAGAGTCCAAAGTCCTACATTCCTCAGTGGGGGGGCTTCTGCAGTTGGGGTAAGTTTCGGATGTCGTAGTTGAGACCAGCATGGACGTTAGAAGGTTGAGCGGAGACCCGTACGTTTTTTTTTTAATGGGAAGGCAGCAACAATCTCAGTACCGTGGCTATTTTTCTCCCGGCATGTTTTTTTTGTTCGTCGGTCAGAGGCAGAGCGATTGTGTTGTTGCAGATGCTCTTGGGGCAGCATCTCCTGTATGAGAAAAGGTGACAATTCTCCATGCCGGCGCTCTGTCCTAGAATTTCACTTGTATGCTATGCAACGTGTGCGTCTACAACACCCGGTGGAGAATATTATCTGAGGGAGGGGATGTGTCGGAAGTCTTCATACCATGCGATGAGGGTTGGAGTCCATCTACACACACACGTGCACGTGCGAATGCATGCACACTTGAGCGCACGACAGTCGAAGCTGGTGTGTGTGTCCGTGTGTGTAACCCCGTAGAATCTGGACATCAGTTGTTATACACTTTGCAGCAGCAGTATATTCCAACTGTACCGCGTATCACCCAAAGTAACACAGCAGGGAAGAAGGCCACACTGGCAGATATTTTGTTTTCTCTCGATTCTCCACCTTCCCTCTGCGTTGCTACTGTCGAGAGGGATTCAGGCATCCCCTTTACCTCGTCGACTGTAAAGTACAAGCTTGCTGCCTACCACCACACGCGACGTGACGCCTTAAGTTTATTTCGTGGATGTGTGCCCCACCCAGGGATTTCCCGGGAGGATTGGTGGACTGCAGACGAGCTCGGGCCTCCCGCCGACCCGAACCAGTGGCTCATCACGAACGATGGTGGTCTTCACTTTTTCAGAAGGTGGGCTAGACATACGTAAGGGAATCGTGGTACATAGGAGTACGTCGTAGTCCCGTTTTTTTGCCGTCCATGGCGTCACAAAAGTGTTGTTTTTACCGCGATTTGAGGGCATCGCCGCTAAACCGAATTGGCAGTTATCTGGTAGTTTGACTACCGAGGTGCAACCGTGCGACGAGATCGTGGAACCTCTATTCAGGGCATCCCGCTAAACAGGGAAGGATTCGCTCAACCGGGACCACGACCGTAGCTGTTTAGGTGGGCGTGTGTGTACTTTGGTGGGCATGCTTGCTTTGTGCAACACTTTCTTCTTGACACTGGGTTCAGTTCAATCGTACGGCAATGCCGAAGCACCTGCCGCTGTGGGGTGCTGTTGCTGGTGGTGACGGTGTTGTTGTTGTTGTTGTCATCGTTGTGCGGTCGCAAGAGTTTGTTTTCAATGATTCGGGAAAGTGTTGAGGAGGAACGGAAGGTGGTTACGTGGTTCCCCCGCCCGATGCTCTTTGCCATTGCTCATCCTTCATTTACATGCCATCGATGCACCATGCAAGGCTGGGAAAGCACAATGTCACGAGCCTCGACCGTCTCAGCTTGACTCCATGTTACTGGCCATCGGTGATCGTTCCTGCGGGAACAACGGGACGCGTGGTCAATGGTCTCAACAGCTGAGGCATGCGTTTTCATGAGTACACTCCCCCCCCCCCCCCCCCCCCCCCCCCCCCCCCCCCCCCCCCCCCCCCCCCCCCCCCCCCCCCCCCCCCCCCCCC